GTCCAGATATACCCTGTTCAACCTCTACAGAGTCCAGATATACCCCGTTCAACCTCTAAACCAGATACCCTACACTTAGGGTATCTGTAACGGTTACATCAGCCAGGTGCAGTCTGCAGTCCGACGCGGGTGAAGGACCTCGGAAAGCCCGACGGTGGACGCGTGGTATCCAAAAACATCCTGGACGAGTGGTATCCCGGAACATCCTGGACGAGTGGTATCCAGGAACATCCTGGACAAGAACGTTAATCAGGCGGGAAACGTCGCCAAGGGACTCAGTGACTTTTTGATGTGTGTGTATGTGTGTGAGTGGGAGGGTGTCCTCAGTGGTGATATGATCAAGCGCTTGCCTCGCGCTCTGAGTTTCTTGGGCTCGTTTCAAGGCAGCGTTGTTCAGTTCACGAGTGCAGTTTTTATGCAGATCACTGAAGCTACGGAGACCATGCTCTGTGCGTCGCTGTTCTGCGGTGAGAGAATGGGCCGTATCGGATAAAACCCGTTGTAATGAAGTTGATCTTCTCAGACAGTCCTTTACCTTTACCTTTTTTCTGCTATGATGAGCGCGACATTCTGCAAAAGACCTGACAGTGAAAGACCCTGTTCCGAGCGTTCAGACGTACTGAGCATCCAGGGCTAGACCTATATTTTATAGACCGATCGGCACTTGGTGGGTGATGTGATGCAACACGCTTTTTCCTTTTCTTTCCAGGACTTTACCTGGTACCCGTTCAAGGCTTGGTCGACCTAGGAGCCGAGGTCAATTTTTAGAGGGAAAAAAAAGTCCGGCTCTGTTAGGACCCGAACTTACGACCTTCCGATCTGCAGGCGAGCGTTTTGACACACACGACGGCGGCTACAACCTCCTACAGCACAGGTTTCAAACTATGGGACGCGACCCCAAAGGTGGTGAAGGGCTATCTGTGGGGTGGCCGGGCATTGGTGAGCTATGACAATTGTTTTAATGTGAAACAAAACAACAACAACAAATCATGTCATGAAGAAAAGTATGCATTTTTATATTGAAAAAGGTGAAAACAGACATGCTTCGTGGCGAGCATCACTTTAGAGGTCCTGGGCAGTTTTTATTATTTGGATATAGATAGGTGTGTTGGGAAATGAGCAGGCAGATAGACTGGCTGGCTCTGCGCCACTTGGTGGTGAATTTATCTATGATAAGTTAGATATTGTGAGGGTCCTTTGGGAACGCGTGAACAGTGCAGAGGCGTAGATAGATCATTACGGTCTGAGGAGAATGGCGCTGCGAGGAGTTACCGGGGGATCTGGCCGACACTCAACACGCATGAGAAGGAAGGATGAGACGGATATACAATCAGACGGTTACTGGTACCATCGGAATTGGAACTCTCCGCTTGCGGCTGAAGATTGGGACTCAGCACTAATGGGAGTGTCCTGAGTGCTGTGATGTCGATTCCTAAATCAACATTCTGCATTGAAGCATATACTATAGAACGATACATTATCTTTATTTGCAACTGACACATTTCAAATGCTTTGTTTTTGAGAAGAGACATGTATAACCAACACAAATGATTTTATTTCTCCAGTATTAATAAAGTATATCGTTAAAAAAAAGTGCTAACATACATTTCATATGATCTAAACACAGAAGAGAACCACCTTCAAAACATAACCTCTCTAAAAATTGAAGCCATTTAGCAGCAGCATGTCTTCTGTAACGTCCTTAACTGTATGTGGATGCTTGTTCTGAAGTATTTTAATTTAATTTTGTTTAGGTTAATAATTGTTCCAGTTCATTTTCTTCTCCAATATTTTACTTGTGGTTTAGGTAGTCAAGGTTTAAACTTTTTTGCAAACGAGTTACCCGGTAAGTGCACCGTACCTGTGCCATTGAAGATCACACAAAATAATCTTACTACTCCAAAAGCTAGGGAACAAGCAATTAGTCCTGGCACAATGCAGAAACATAAACACTTAAAAAATGCACATGACAGTCGTAAGAGGTGCTACACCGCACAACGCACGTCATATGTGGATATGAGGGTGAAAGAACTAATTAGCTACAAAAAGGATATGAACTAAACTTTTCACCACTTTTACAAATAGGATACTTCCCCGTTCCAAAACAAAGAAACATATACCATCACAGTAACGCCTTCCATTAAAAGAGAGATAGATGTACAGGCACATTCAGAGACACAGCTCTGGAAAAAAAAAATCATATAAAATGAAATTGCGTAGATATGAAACCAAAGATCTAACGTTATCTAACACAGTGAACTGACAGACAATCAGAACGCATGCAGATGCTAACGATGACTTTCTGTAAACTTTCATTGTATACATTTGTGGCTTCAATATTAAGACGTAGTGATGTGAAAATCAACGAAGGATGTCCGACTAGGGAAAATCTGGAGAGTAAACAAACAGAAATGAATAAATGAAAATAATACATAATATAAATAATAAAACAGAATATTAAGCGATGCTTGCCACTCTGCACGCGGCATGCCTGTCTCCACCTTTCCCAACATGCTCTGCGAGTCAGTTACAATGACGACATGTGTCTACAACTGATTCTCAATCCAGCGGACGCCAGCAGTGACTGGCTCGCCTCCATTCTCAATACAGACGTCGTGATATCATATACCAGACTGTGTTGAACTAAGCGACGTCCATTCGCTTTGACTGAACCGCGATGCACCTCGTCTGCCTCTCAGCACTAGGCCATCTGTATAGACAATCACATCACTTGGGCGGGAATTGTCATGAATCATTTGTTGAACTTGTGATTCTGCAGCACCAGGTGCAGCTGAATCTCTCTTCATGTAAAAGGAACACACACACGCACATACACAAACGACACATTTAGAAAAATGGGTACATTTTACGCTCGTCTCCCCATTAGCACACCGCTACACACTAACTGGCTTCTGATTGGACGACCTCGAGCAATCCGACTGTCACGCAAGGTCACGGGGTTATTCCACACTTGCACTCATACTGCGTGTTGTATATTTCACCATGCCAGAACCTTTAACACTTCTAAAACATTTAGATACTGTATCTAACACACAACTCCCCTTATAGAGTGACAAAACCTGTGTCACATGCCGTCTCTTTCTCGGGAAAAAAAAAACGTAAATACAAGACAACAACAGACTACGACACCCATAACCTCGACCACAGTAGACTAGTCCAATCAACTTTTCAATGGAGTTGACCTTCAACCAGTGATGTGCTAATGGGTAGACTAGCGTAAAATTCACTGGAATATGATACAGTCAATGACCATTTTCAAGCCAATGGCGCGTCGCGGATATTATGCTTAAACCATATTTGTTTTAAAGACCAATTGTCACTCCAAGGGTGATGTGGTCAGCTTGGTACCAGCTACCAATACAAGACATTTCCTAGCACTAATTTTTGTTGTTGTTGACTGTGTCGACTTGAGAGTCAAGGTCAGTTCTGAACCGAACAAATGGGAATCCATCAAACCCTAGAGCTTACATCCGTAGGCGAGTGACTAGCCGCCATGCTAACTCTCCTATTAGGTGTGCATAAGCCGCCCTGTCGATATTTCAATGATCAAGCGTTAGTTAGTGGGTGATGCTGTCAGTACAGACCTGGTGATCATTTGTAGCCAGCAAATGGCAAGTCGTTAAATCATTTCATTGTGCACGGAGCTCACACCATACTCTCCCCCCCCCCCCCCCCCATCGTGTCAGCCTCACCATCTCGTTCCCTTCCCCGCGTTTGTTTTGTCTACATTTATGTATATGCCACTGTGGGTTCCAGTGTAAAGACCTTCTTGTTATATTATTGTCATGTTTTCTCAACATTACTCCTATTTTGAGCCGGAGTCTTTTCTTCACCTCCCGGTTCACTGGAACTTGTTTAATTCTCTTTTAAATTTTCATATTAATAATTCTGTTATATCATCTAATTTCTAGAAAATTTTCTGCTACCCAGGTCAGGCCAGGCTGACAAAAAGAGCAGTGTCCCCAACTGCTTTATAATCCCGTTGGGCTGGTCATGTGGCACGCATGACAGATTACAGGCTTGAAAAAAAAAACTTTTCGATTGTGAGCTGCAAAATGGAAAACGCTCCCAGCGCTGGCAAAAGAAACACTTTAAGGACACGATGAAGTCTTCACTCAAAGCATTTGGGATGAATGACACCAACTGGGAGGCTGCCTCTCAAGACCGAAATGCATGGCGTGCAGCTCTACACAAGGGCGCGGCTACATCTGAAGCAAACAGAACAGCAAGATTGATTAAGAAAAGGATGGACAGAAGGGCGACTGCAGAAAATTCCCTTCCTGGCACAACAATTCCCTGTCCTCAGTGTCCAAGAACTTTTCGGGCCCGCTTCAGTCATCTTCGTACTCATACTTTATGAAAAAGAGTGGTCATCATCATCTTGATGGACAACACACATGGTCCCCTTGGTAACAAGTGCGCACGACCCTGCTTAAACAATCACTCACTAGAATACAAACGTAAATTACTGAATAAACAAAGACATAAAAACACATTATGCTCAAATAACGCTCGGCTGTCTGCCTTAAGGTTTTGGGTTCGAATCCACATGGGCAGATTCTAATATGGAAAGATACATTTGCTGCCAAATCAACACAGCATTGCTCTTGTTTCCTATAATTAAAGTTTCTTACTGAGAAGGAAAAAGGAAAGAAGACAAAAAGGAGTAGGAGGAGGAGGACAAAGAAGAAGAAGAAGAAGAAGAAGAAGAAGAACAACAACAACAACAAAAAGAAGGAAAAAAGGAGAAGCAGTAGTAGCAGCAGCAGGAAGGAAGAAGAAGTAGCAGTAGTAGTAGTAGTAGCAGTAGCAGCAACAGCAGAAGCAGCAGTAGCAATAGTATTCAAAGCAAATGGAGATAAAGAAGAGAAAAAAGGGAAGTGGATCAGAAGGAGAGGAAACAAAAGTATAACCTCACTGACGATTATCGTTGCAGAATTTCAACATGAAGTTTTTACCTTTGCAAGAGTGCACTGCGTTCAACCTTGGCCCGGGCCTTGTTGTTTAGCCATAGCTCCTAGCAACTTCTCAACTAGGAAACCCAGTTCCTGGGTCCCCATGTTGTTCAGTGCTTGGTCATTTAGAGCTGCAGGAGCTGGTGGGGCTGCAGGTGGCGGGGACCTTGCAGCAGGAGTAGGAGGAGGAGGAGCGGCGTCGTTCATGGGGTTGTACACGTAGATATTGGGTTGATAGTTATCTGTGACAAATAAACCAACTTATGAAAATAGGAAATGTGTTTGTACATTAGAAAATACCCAGAATATCGTCGGTTTCAACAGACACAAATGTCGACCAGGCCTAAGAGAGAGAGAGAGAGAGAGAGAGAGAGAGAGAGAGAGAGAGAGAGAGAGAGAGAGAGAGAGAGTGCGTGCGTGCGTTCGTGCGTGCTTGTTATCCATCAAGATGATGATGACCACTCTTTTTCATCAAGTATGAATACGAAGATGACTGATGAGGCCCATGCGGGCCCGAAAAGTTCTTGGACAGTGAGGACAGGGAATGAGCGTTGTGCCAGGGAGGGGATCTCCTGCAGTCGATTTTCTGTACATCCTTTTCTTAATCAGTTTTACTGTTCTGTTTGCTTCACGTGTAGCCGATCCCTTGTGTAGAGCTACACGCCATGCATCTCGGTCTTGAGATGCCGTCTCCCAATTTTTGTCATTCATTCCAAATGCATTGTGTGAAGACTTCCAGGCCCAAGTAACGTGGGAGCCGCGGATCGGAAGGTCGTGGGTTCGCTCCCTGGCTTAGCCGGAATTTGTCAAAAATGACCTTGACTTCCAGGTCGACCCAGCCTTGTGTGGGTACCGGGTGCAGTCCCGTGAAGTAAAGGCAGCCGGTGTGATGCTGACCACAGCACTCATCTTGTGCCGATTTGTCTATAAATATATAAATATATAGGTCTAGCCCTATATGCCCTATACGCCTGAAGGCATGGAAAAGGGTCCTTCACTTTTTTTATTTTTTTTATTTTAACCTAAGTAACGTGACACACATAAAGTGTAAACAGTTAGTGTCATGGAGGTGTGTATCGATGGAAGCACACAAGAATCCGCCATCTTTCTCTGTGTTCCGTTTAATGAATAAAGTGTATAAAAACTTAGTCATGTCCATTTCTTGATTTTGTCATTCCAGATACTTCTTGGCCCTACTCTTCTTTCTATTCTGCCGCCTCCCACCCTCCCCAATGTTTCTTGAAGTATCTGAATCTAGCTAGCTTGCGACGTTTCACCACTGCCAATAGAGGCTCCTGATGTCCCGCAAATCTGTATATTTTGTCTTTGACATTTTTTGTTAGTTTTGTGTTCTAAATAACTAATTAGTAAAATGCCTAATAGGGTACCAGGAAAGAAATTAAAACGTAAATATAGTTGGTGTAATGATGGTCACAATACCCATTGAGTGTTAAAAAAAAAAAAGAAGAAGAAGGAGTATTACCATATGCCCGATGCACCACTCGCAGGAGAAGAGTTCTTTACCTGTACTCAACTTATTATTCTACACAGAATACCAAACCAGTTACATTTTTAACCATTGAAAATGTTACTGATTAATTAATGAAAATTATGTTCTTCACAGCACATTTAGATTATCGCAGATGCAGCTGTTTACTTAGATCGCATTCATCCGTAAGACAAATATAAGTTGAAACTCAAATAATACATCTTCTTCTTTTACTGATCGTGTAGGCCATGTGGCGTTGGTAGTCACTTCGTCGACCATAATTTGGACTGTCGTATAGGGGTAGTCTGTTCTCTTTATGAATCATGAGTACAGATGGTTTTCTTCCGTTTTGGGTAATCAGTTCTCTTCATGAATCATGAGTACAGATGGTTTTCTTCCGTTTTGGGTAATCAGTTCTCTTCATGAATCATGAGTACAGATGGTTTTCTTCCGTTTTGGGTAACCTGTTCTCTTCATGAATCATGAGTACAGATGGTTTTCTTCGTTTATGGGTAATCTGTTCTCTTCATGAATCATGAGTACAGATGGTTTCCTTCGTATATGGGTAATTTATTCTCTTCATGAATCATGAGTACAGATGGTTTTTCTTCGTTTATGGGTAATCTATTGTTCATGAATCATGAGTACAGATGGTTTTTCTTCGTTTATGGGTAATCTATTCCCTTCATGAATCATGAGTACAGATGGTTTTTCTTCGTTTATTGGTAATCTATTCTCTTCGTGAATCATGAGTACAGATGGTTTCCTTAGTAGATGCGTAATCTATTCTATTCATGAATCATGAGTACAGATGTTTCCTTCGTATATGGATAATATGTTCTCTTCATGAGTCATGAGTACATATGGTTTTCTTTCTTTTATATGTAATCTTTTCTCTTCATCATGAGTACAGATGGTTTCTTTCGTATATAGGTAATCTGTTCTCTTTATGAGTTAACTTTTTTCATCTGGGTAGACATTAGACATCACAGCATTCAGGATAAGTCTATACTAGCTCCGTCTCCCTTTTCAACAGCAAAGATTTTCCATATGGATGGTACCCATTATCATCTGGTTTACTACTCATCTTGCCTTTCCGCCGTGTTTCGAGTGGTGCGCAGAGAGCACAAATTCTCCTTACTGAGTTATTCTCTCCGGGTGTGGGTTTTTCAACATCTTCCATTTGACTGCTGACCTCGTCCCATCGACGAGAGATCACGGCGCAAATGGGGCCAGCCCAGCCAGCTTATTTCATTCCTAGATATGCATACACTGTCAGGACAAAATATCCACCTTATTGTCATAACCTGTGACCTCATGATTGATGCGACCCATAGTTGGTGAACGCTGAGAAGAAGACCGGCTGAGAAACATGACAAGATTCTAGTACGCACATTCACTTGAATGCACATTCACGGGAACCCACAGGTCTTAAGGACCAAGAGGAGACCAACATATAGAAGAAGCTGAGTGACTGCAGTGAAAACGCTGGGAAGGAATGAGATGTGTGTTCACACTAATATTATATATCTTCTTGTTATCCTGCCTTTTAAAACAGCGGTTAGAACAATGTATCGGGATTTGTAGTTGGGCTGGGATATTTGCGCCTGTCTGTCCAACTTCCATAATTTCTTTCAAATCTTTTTTGTTACACTGTATATCTGTCCGTGGCGCTGTCATAATTCGTCTTTAAAACTACATCAAGCAGCTTCCATATACTGTTTTCCTAATAGTATGCTTCCCTAATAGTGTGTTTCCCTAATAGTATGTTTCACTAATAGTATGTTTCACTAATAGTATGTTTCACTTATAGTATCTTTCCCAAATAGTATCTTTCCCTAATAGTATATTTCTCTAAAAGTATGTTTCGTTTCCTAATAGTATGTTTCCCCAAAAGTATGTTTCCCTAATAGTATGTTTCCCTATTAGTATGTTTCCATAATAGAATGATATAAACATGCAAATCATTACCCTGTAGGATCTCTCAGAAATCACAAGGCAGATGTGGTCAAGGCCGCATGGGAACAAGCTACGGAATCAGTAGAGACAGAAGATTATTATGGCCTGGAGAGAATGAGGCATCTGGGTGTAACCAGGGTGTCTGGCCGGCTCACTACACTCAGAGAAAAGGCAAGACGGACATATAACCAGATTGTGACCGGTACCATTAGTGTTGGAACTCTGCGCTGGCCGCTGAAGATGAGAACGGAGCTAAATTGGGAATGCCCGAGTGCTGTGATTTCAATTCTTGACTCAACTCAACTCAGCTCAGAATTTAAGGTATTAGGGAATATGTCTAAGAAGGGCTGCAGTGGAGACCAGAAAAGATACAATTAGGAATGGAGTCAGAGGAGAACATTTCGGCACATAACCAGTACTAAGTTAGATATAAGGACAGCAAATCAAATAGTTTGTCCTCTTAGAGAAAATGGCTTGTGACACGACACCATACAAGGCATTATTCCGAAAAAGAAAATTGGCGAAGAGCACGAAGGTAGATCACGAATAATATGGAGAGAAAATATCAGAGAAATTGAGGCTGCATGGTCTCGAGACATGGTGTCCGCCTTGAGTGCTAGAGGTTCCGGGTTCAATCCCCGGTAAGGGCTGGGATATTTTCACGTGTACTTGGACTTCTAGTCATTCCCCCTGGTCTCTGGGTAGTGAGATCGGACGCCCGTGTGAATTTTTGCGCACGTAAAAAATCCCGTGGCGGGTAGAAATTGAAAATAGTAGCCTAACGGCGCTGCCCAGGCAAAAGTTTGAGTTGAAAATCTACCCAAAGCATTTCAGGATCCTCGCCGGTGCTACAGAGCCTGTGCACTGTGCTGAACTTCTTCTTCGGACTCAGACTTGAGTTAGACTCAGAACAGAGCACTTATGGGTTACTACCCATGTTCCATGATATGATCGGTTGTTCAAATATCAAACGGTTCAGAGAAAATTTACAACTGCACAATGTGTCTTTAGTCGAGGCGGGCAGAAAAGCCAGAGGCAGAATCTTATGTTTCTCTCGACACATGCAGCTGCAAAAGACGCGAAGAAGAAGAATGGAGAAAAAATATTCAGGCTACAAAGGTCAGGCCATAATTTCATCGTATTAGACGAGGTGAGCACTAAAAACATGTTGCAACAAGTTAATGGCATTAGAAAGGAACATATATACCGATTGTTTTGCAAAATGGAAACCACACATAAAGTCAATATAATACTCGAAGTCCTTATAAATAGACGAAAAGAGAGAGAGACACACACACACGCACACACACACACGCGCGCGCGCACGCACGCACGCACAAGCGAAAGGAAACGACAGAAAGATGAACGTTGCTCAAGTTGCAACCCAATAGTTTTTTTTTTTTTTTTTAGAATAAAAGGTTGATTTAAAAAAACAAAAAAAAAAAGTGGTCAAAAAAGCCGACAAAAGACAACATTTTGATTACCTAGCTGGAGAAACAGAAATATGGACTGGGAAAGGAAATCACGGTGACCTTTTAAAGCCCGCCCCCACGCCCTCATTTTCCCGCTCTTCTATTAAGCAAAAACAAAACAAAAACTTGTATCAAGTGGGCGGATTCAAAATATTAACCATGCATGACTTATGACTTGTCTCTAACTGGTCGTTAACTCACCCCTGGCAGGTTTTGGTGGCTCAAACACCTTGTTGACACCTATAAAGCCCTCCAGGAAATCGCCGTTTCTGCCTGGTGGTATAGGTGTGGTGGTTATTGGTGGAGGGGGAGTCTCACCTGTAGCAGAACAAGAGAACAGATACAAACATGTTTTAAAAGAAATTATCATAATACAGAAAACCGTTTGAGATACCGTACGTTGTTTCTACTATGCCTCTGATTCCCTTTGTCCTTTGACAAAGTGTCGGCTCTGTGGCTAAGTCGATGAGAACGCTTCGTAATACCGGGATGCCGGGTTCGATCCCAGCTGCGGCCATGCGCCTTGCGTTGGTTTCGACAGTTAGTGGTATCAGTGGGCCGACCGTCCATGAAGTAATGGCAAACTACTGGACGTAAATTTGCCTAGAGAAACCACACAACAGCCAGGGGCTGCTGGGGTTGGTTCAGCAACGTCCTGTAAAGGATACGCAACTAACCTTAACTTGTCAGAGTCGTCGTTTCCAGTTTTTCTGTTTCCAAAGTGCCTGCAACAGCACCGGGTCCAGATATTTTCTCAATAAGTTACAGCTTATGGCCTCATAGTCTGCAGGGGCCGTTTCTCTCGCATTCATTACTTCCTCTTGTGCCCAGGGGCTGCAAGCGCTACTTTTCAGTCGCATTCATGTCTTACTCTTGTGCCCAGGGGCTGCAAGCGCTACTAATCAGTCGCATTTATGTCTTCCTCTTGTGTCCAGGGGGTGCAAGCGTTATTATCAGTCGCATTCATTTCTTGCTCTTGTGTCCAGGATGTTGCAAGAGCCAACTTGCAGTATTGTTCATTTTTTGCTCCTTAATTCTAGTGTACATGAGCATCCTTACAGTCATGTTGTCCTATTATGTTTTCCTTTTATCACAGAAGGCAAGAGTTCAATCCTTATGGCTTGTCCACATACGTATACATATCATTTTCACTTTCAACTGGACACTTTTCAAACCATCTAGAGAGAAGATTTTTCAAACAAAACTGGACGATTTTCAAATTAAATAGCGCTCCAACTTCATCTTCAACAGACAGTGAGGAGTTCCATTTCCGTTTGTATCAGCAGCAATTTAATTTCAGTTCCTTCCTGCTTTTCCTGTGAGAGTGGAGCACCGGCCAGATCTCATGGTTACTCCCGCTAGACTATTCTGTCCAGACAGGTCAATGATCTGCTTATGACATGATTAATTTCCCTAATAAAACTATTATTGATTCGAGCAGACACGTTAAAGCATGTAGAGTCTATGTTGTTAACTTCAAAATTTATATAGCAATTAAAAAGTAGTCAATACTACGCTTAGTTGGTTTTTTTTTTTTTTTCTCTCCAAAAATGACCTTGACTTCCAGGTTGACCTAGCCTTGAGTGGGTCACAGGCAGTCCTGGAAAGTAAGGCGGCAGGCGTGATGCTGATCACATCACCCACCGAGTGCCGATTGGTCTAGAAAAATATAGGTCTAGCCCTTTATTCCCAATACGCCTAAAGGCGTGGAAAAGGGTCCAATACTACGCCTGACCCTTTACTTCCTTTAACATTTTATTTCGCCAGTTTAAGGCTGGGTTGACCTGGGCGCCTTGATCCATTGAAAAAAAAAAACTTCGATGATCACATAAACTCACCCATAAACCCAGCTAGTGGGTTCAGGCTATCGTATGCAGCGTTGTTGACTGGGATCTCGCTGAATACGTTGCTGCGATACTCCGTTTTGGGGCCCAGGACAAACCCGTTGAGCCTGTCACTTACAAGGGCTGACGCTGGAGCAGGAGATGCCGTTGTGTTTCGAACGGGGTATAATGACACCTGGCCGCTGTTCTGCGCTGCTACTGTGCCACCTGAGTAGGAACAGAATACATGTTAGAAAACATGTCAGAGCACAAATGACAATTGTTTCTATGACTCGTTATATTTTATTACGTGACATATCTTAGAACTTCTGCTCACCACCTGCTGAATTAGTCTTTCTAATGGATAATCTGTCAGCTCTATTGCACTGCCCACTTGATCCCGGAGTGCTATCATCATGCCTGCTTTATCATAAAGTAGACCACCGTTCAGTTGCGCAACAGCAGCTAATATATCTGCCTGTTCATTACCCCGCACTCCCAAATTTATGGACATAAAATCTATTATATACTCCTGATCAGAGTCTTATCTTGCGATACAAGCCACTTTACGCCCAGAACGCCAACGCCAGCTTCCATTTCCCGAAACGTGCTCTCTAAATCCCCTACAGTTGCAGCATGATGGTCGATGTTGCTCTCAAGTCATCAGAATGCTGCATTACTGCCTCGACCTCCATTCCCTTATGTAGCACAGCTCTCTTCTTTGTTGCGTACGTTGATGTCACACCCAGGTTCGTCTTTAGGTTTGCTACAGGAGGAGTCGATTGGAAGATTATAGACGAGGACAAAGATGGTCGTGTCGATAGTAGTTATGATGAGGATGATGTCTTGCTAGCTGCATGCTTCTTGCGTGACTCTGATGCTTGTATAATAAAATGGCTGGAAACAACAGTTCTCGTCTATACTGTCTTTATCGTGATATTTCAAAAATTTCACAAATAACAGTAATGATATTCTAAATAGGTTGTGTTCTCTCTATGGCTAAATACTCGTAGGTTCGCGTTGTGTTCTTTAGTTGCTTTGTTAACTGGTTTTAGTGTCTCTATGCCACCTGGCTTCTAGTGCTGTTTGATACTAACGGCTTGATCGTTGACTCTAACAGCTCTATAGTGTTCCTAATATGTCTCTGTTAACCATGGATCCATGTATCTTATGTGTCGTCTCTGTAGCTCGATGTCTTGTTTCATGTCTGCTCTCCAGTGACTGTCTTCGAGGTTACATATGAACGGCTGCTCTCCCAGTGTTGAGCTGGCATCAAGGATCATTGAGACTAGACGCTCGTCCTCCGAGTCTCAACGACTGAAGGCTTCTAGTGTTATGCTCACATCTCTACCACTGAAGGCTGTCTTGAGAGTCCATGTGACTGCTCTCTCTCCTCTCTTGAGTCTTGTGGACTGAAGAATTTCTAAAGTGCTTTGTTACTGACTATTTATACTTGGATGCTGGAATGCTAGGTATTTGTTTTCTTCTCGCTTCTAGAATATTCTAGTACACCTCAACTTGTTTACTAGGTAGGTTCTCACGTGGGATTTGCTAATTATATCTCGATTGCATCATATTTCATCATCCTATTCTTCGCAGATATAGTAGTTAAACTGACAATTGAGGTCATAGAAGCTTCTAAAAAAAAAAACAATTGCGTTTGCTTTGATAGGGCATGACAACAAGGTATTTACTAGTTAGACAAGGTTCGGCGACATGATGTAAAATGCATTTCAAAACTTCTAGAAAGAAGGTCAAGGCCAGACAACCTCAGTTTGATGTCAATAGCTTGTTTTGGCGGGAAAAGAAGATTATGGAAAAGGGAATGTCAAGGTTACCAAAACTTGTTGATCTCCTAATATTCTAGCTTTGTGCCTCCTAACAAACAAGCTATGATCTTACTCTGTTACACCCCTACTGGATGTTATGACGTTACACGCGAGGCTCTCTGTTTTCATACAATGTGTGTTCAACTTTGCAATAAGACCCTATCCACTCTTTATACCAATCACTACAGACCCATCTGTGTAGATAAGGATGCCAACTGGGCATAAGGAGCAGTGTGATGGTTAGACGCTTGCGAGGTAAAAAGAAGGTAAGAACTGATGTAAAGGTAGCCGGCGTGATGTTGACATATCGCTTATTGAAAGCAGGCTCTTCTTATTCACCTCCTCTTCGGGTGTCGAGGTAGACACGAGGATCTGCTTCTTGATCTTCTGGCCCTTTCGACCATAACCGCACAGTGCCGTTGTAGAGTTTCTCCGATGTTATCTTCCACTCTTGTTCTTGGTCTACATCGTGCTTTACGTCGTTCTCTATTGGTGTTTGATGTTTGAAGTTTGATGTTTGAACAAAGGATCGAAATTATGGCACAAGAGTAGAAACACATAAGTGCTCCGTTCTACTTCTAACTCAAGCCTGAGTCCGAAGGTTCCAACACAGTGCACTAACTCCGTAATACCGGCAAGGATCCTGAAATACTTGAATAGATTTTTAACTCCAAATTTTTCCCGAGCAGCACCATTAATCAACTCTTTTCCATTTCCAACTGCCAATGTGCTTAACAATACACACGGGCGTCAGTTCTTACTACTCAGAGACCAGGGAATATTACTAGAAGTCCATGTGGAAAAATCCCTGCCTTCACCAGGGCCTAAACCCGGGAGATCTAGCACTCGAGGCGGACACCATGCTTCGAGACCGCTCAGCCCCTTATTGGTGTATGCTTGTATGGTATGGTATCATAAGACATTCTCTCCAATTGGGCAAACCATTTCATTTGCTATGTCTGTATGTAACTTACAATTGGTTCCGTCGCAACAGTTTCTTACATGACCTCATTCCTGATTGTGTTAAAATCATGTTATCTGCAGCAAACATATTGACATGAGGGTGGCAACAACAGCACTGAAAGCAAGTGTTTTACATTTTACAGTTTTATTTTTTATATTTTTTATTAAAAAGCATTTTTCTCCACTCCTCTTCCTCCTCATTCTCTTGGCGATCTGGCACTACAGGTAAAATGCAATAAATACACATAGCAGCGATTCTTTCCCTTCTTATTATTCGTTTTCTTCTTATTATTATTTTTCATCTTCTTCTTCTTCTGCTGCTGCTACTATTACTTCGACTTTCTCATCGTCTTCTTCTTCTCTATTTTTTTCTTCTTCTTTTTTCTTTTTCTTCTACAACACAAAACAACAACATCAGCAACAACAATAACTACAAAAACCACCACTACTACTACTATTACTGCTACTACTACTACTACTACTACTACTACTACTACTACTACTACTACTACTACTACTACTACTACTACTACTACTACTACTACTACTACTACTACTACTACTACTACTACTACTACTACTACTACTACTACTACTTTTTTCTTCTTCTGCAATTGCTCTTAAAATGCATGTGGAAACGTTATGTAATGGGTTACAGCTAGACCTACGATATGCTGCGCCTTAAGGTCTAACACATCCGATGTAAACGAACCCATAAAGTGTGTCCTTTTACAACATGTTCATTAGAAGGGTACAGGGTCTATTCTTTCGCCCGCAAAACAGATCTCCAGAACTCACATGAGGATTATGGCCTGAAACCTGATATTTCCTGATAGGCAGGCTATGACGCCACGCAGAGGAATTCTCAGTGTTAAAAAAAGGGGGGAGGGAGTGGGGTAAGGTGGGGTCGTAAAGACATAGTTCTTATGCCATTTCACACATTGAGTATATGGTGCTCGTCTTATATTTATTTTGGCAACTTTGCATTTTATGGCTGTTGTGGTCAACAGGAGCGGTTGGGCGAATGTTAAGAACGCCGGGATCTCATATGGGAGATCCCGATTTGAACCTCGGTAAGGTTGTGGGTTTTAAGTTTTGTTTTGTTTGTTTTTTTATTGTTGCTTGCCAAGATAACGGGTTCGATCCCAGCTGCGGGCCATGCGCCTTGCGTTGGTTTAGACAGTGGTATCAAGAAAGCCGACCGTCTAGTAAACAATGGCAAACTACTGGACGTAAATTTGCCTAGAAAAGGGATACGCAAGAACCTTTTTGTGGGCGAAAATAAAACTCTAACCTGCACATCGTGTGGTGACTGTACTAGTCAAGACGCCTTATACCCTCAGGTTCACAGACCTTCCCTTTTCTCCTTTCTTTCTGCCTACATCGCAGGAGTGGTAAACACAGACAGTAGTAACAGTTTTCAAGGTTAATGTAACTCCGTCGCCTTCACTTCTAAGACTATATCCTGGTAACAGTTTTAGGCTGGGTCGATTTTGGTAAATCAGGTAAGTCTCAGAAAAATTGCTTAATAATAAAAATATTGCTTAATAATAATATTTCTTCAAAATAACTTCAGGTACACATTTTTTTTAAAAATGATACAGGCTTCATACATCAAATGAAGAAAGGAAAAGCACAGGAATATCTCACTGGAAGAAATCGAAGCACTGGGAAATTTTGGAATTGAAATAATAACTAAACTTTTAAATGATATTTCTAATGGTGGGTATATTCCAAATGACGTTTTGAAATCCATATTTATAGCTCTGCCTAAGAAACCAGGCACTTTAAAATGTGAAGACCATCGCACAATAAGTCTTATGAGTTACATGACTAGGATTTTACTGAGAATAATTATGAGAAGAATAAGAAACCAAATTAAAATAGAAATCAGCGATGAACAATGTGGATTTGTAGAAGGAAAAGGTACAAGCAATGCCATTTACATCCTAAGGGCATTGTCAGAAAGAGCTATAGAAGTATAGACTGATTTGTACTTATGCTTCATAGACTATACAAAAGCATTTGACTGTGTGAAGCATGAAGAAGTAATCCAACTGTTAGAAAAATTAAACATTGATGGGAATGATCTACGAATAATAAAGAATATGTATTGGCAGCAAACAGCAGCTATAAGAATAAACAACTGTTTAGGTACATTTCAAAGCATATAGAGGGGCATACGATAAGGATGTGTACTTTCACCTGATTTGTTTTCAATATACAGTGAATATATAATGAGATCTTTAATTGATATGCCCGGAAATGTGGTTGGTGGGCACAATATAAACAATTTACGTTATGCTGATGACACAGTCTTGATAGCAACAAGTCAAAAAGAATTACAGGAAATGATAGACATTGTGGTGTTAGAAAGTGGAAGAATGGGCTTCAGTTTGAATAATGGGAAGACAGAAGTAATTGTGATATCACAGAAACAAATTATTCCTAAATGTGTAATAAAAGTCAATGGTGTTAATTTAGGACAAGTACAGAAATTTAAGTATCTGGGCTCATGGATAACATCAGATGGAAGATGCATAACTGAAATAAGAAACAGAATTGGACAGACAAAAACTGTATTTTATTAAATGAAAAACATCTTGTGCAATATATCCTTGTCATTGAGAGTTAGAAAAAGAATTCTTGCTTGCTACATGCATCCAGTTTTAACATATGGCTGTGAATCCTGGACAATCGGTAGGCTGGCCAAACAATTTTTAGAGGCATCAGAGATGTGGTTTTACGGAAGAATGATTAGAATACCTTGGACAGTCAAAAAGAGCAACCAAGAGGTCTTGAAAGGAGTAGGAGCCCGAAGACAACTTATCACAGACATCAGAAGGAGACCATCATGATTTTTCGGCCATGTTATGAGAAGAGGGAAAATAGAACATGTTGTGACCACTGGAAAGATCTGTGGAAGGAGGGATAGAGGAAGACAACGAGAGAAGATCCTTGACAGTCTTGTTGCATGGCATGGAGGTGTTTAGGCACACGAACTGATACATACTGCAGGAGATCGCAGATTATGGAGAGGCATGATCGCCCACGCCAGTCGACAAGGCACCTGATGATGATGACAGGCTTAACTGGTCGGTATTTGATGTCGTAGTTAAAAAAAATGTAACGACAGACTTACTGAGCAGAGAACCCAACAAAGCATCCAAAGCGTTCGCGTCTTTAGGGGAGGTCGGTTGAGCCAAGAACTGGTTCAGCTGTGGGAATAATGGTCACTGTGTCATTAATGTTTACAAAACAGATGTAAATTGAAGCTTCTTTTTCTTCTTCTTCTTCTTCTTCTTCTTCTTCTTCTTCTTCTTCTTCTTCTTCTTCTTCTTCTTCTTCTTCTTCTTCTTCTTCTTCTTCTTCTTCTTCTTCTTCTTCTTCTTCTTCTTTTTCTTCTTCTTCTTTTTTTTTTCTTCTTCTTCTTCTTCTTCTTCTTCTTCTTCTTCTTCTTCTTCTTCTTCTTCTTCTTCTTCTTCTTCTTCTTCTTCTTCTTCTCTTTCTTCTTCTTCTTCTTCTTCTTCTTCTTCTTCTTCTTCTTATTATTATTATTATTATTATTATTATTATTCTTTTTCTTCTTCTTCTTCTTCTTCTTCTTCTTCTTCTTCTTCTTCTTCTTCTTCTTCTTCTTCTTCTTCTTCTTCTTCTTCTTCTTCTTCTTCTCTTCTTCTTCTTCTTCTTCTTCTTCTTCTTATTATTATTATTATTATTATTATTATTATTATTATTATTATTATTATTATTATTTCTTATTTTTCTTCTTCTTCTTCTTCTTCTTCTTCTTCTTCTTCTTCTTCTTCTTCTTCTTCTTCTTCTTCTTCTTCTTCTTCTTCTTCTTCTTCTTCTTCTTCTTCTTCTTCTATTCTTCTTCTTCTTCTTCTTCTTTCTCCTCTTCCTCTTCTTTCTCTCTTGTTTATCCTTTTTCTTCTTTTTATTGTTATTATTGTTATTATTATTATTTACATCAATTTGACTTCCTCAGACTTGATTGCCTCCGCGAAAACCGCAAAGTCACATCAACTGTTTCAGGTATAAGACAAGTGTATTTCTCTTGAAGACGTTATAATGAGAACAACCTTAGCAACAGAGTCTACACCACGAAAACATAAATAACAAGAAGAAAAAAAGCAAGAGTGTTTAGAGGACTGTTCCTAGTCTGACATGATGATGATGATAATAATAATAATAACAACAGCAATGTCAAAAAGCAAAAAAATGTAACGATATAAATGAAATAATTTGGAATATATAAACACATATTTTTTGTGATAATTTCTAAACATAGAAACAGTGGACTAGCCGTTATACCACGGTGTCTAGTAAAGCAATGGGAGACTTAAAGGATAGGGTTAAACATAAGGTTATTTTTTTTATTTAAGGACGTTCCGGCAATTAGCTTTCATAAGCAGAAGGACGAAAAAAAAATTGTAACTCTTCTGTTTGTGTTATTATTTTGTTATATCTTTTTTTACATAGTGTTTGAATAAGAATATGTATTCATTGTAGAGTCAGTTTAAGTTTTTGTGTTGTTTATTTGTTTGCTTTCTTCGTCGGTTTTCTGCTTCTTATCGCAGCAAAGTGCTTTATTTATTGTATATCTTCCTCTTCTTCTTTGCATTCACAGTTGTAAACGCCAGCGGAAACACTTCTGGTTGTTTTTCAACGTCTGATCCAAAATATGTATTGCAGTTTATCCGGCTTAAATATTTGACTCATTTGTATGAAGACTGTTCCTTACCTCTAATTTAAATGAACTCTGACTTCGAAAAAACACCTAATTAGTCAACTATTATGACATGATTTTGGGTAGGCAGTGGGTCTTTTATTGTCCCCCCCCCCCCCCCCCCCTAATAGGGCCCTGGAGCCCACACGGGGAATTTATTGTAACCGATTATGTCAAAGTGGCAATTACTTTAATTTTTTCCCATCTTTTTAGGATATTATATTCTGCATCTGTGTGAGTTAGTTGTCTATCCTTTCAGGACGTGGCAGAACCAGCCCCATCATTTTTTGGCTTTTGTGGGTTTTCTAGGCAAATTTACATCCAGTAGTTTGCCATTACGACTAAACGGTCCACTCTCAATGTCACTGTCGAAACCAACGCAGGGGGCAAGGCCCGCATCTGGAATCGAACCCGGCACCCGGCATTACAAAGCGCGTTCGCAACGACTAAGCCACAGACGCTGTCATCTGTGTGAGACCTAAAAACAAATGAACATGAAATAAATGTTGTAACTATTGGGGAAGATACGAAATCAAGTAACACAATCAGCTGACCTGTATGGGGTTGGGACCCCTAGATGCAAAGTCAACTTTTCCAGGCGGTGCGTTGGGGTTTGGTCTCTGAGCGCCCTGGTCTCCGAAAATCCCAGCAAATTCTCCACCTGTGGAGTTTGTACACGTTCTTTAAACCTTTTTTTTTAACACCCATGGACTGGCAAAACTATAAATACGTCTTCGTCTTCTGCCTTTATCTGAAGATTTATTTGCTTTGTGTACGTTTACAGCATGGCTGCGATATTTGAACATTTTAACCAACACATCCGACTTCTGCGGGCGTTCGTTGACCAGGTTAGCCTTCCCGAAAACTATGAATATAGTTTTTTCACGAAACACCAGAGTGCGAAACAAATGTAGGTGACAGTTTTCGTGAAATCCGATTTCGCAAAATTACCATTTTTAGCCTCAGACAACCTAAAGGAACCAAACCATGCAGCAATTTAATTGAGAAACAAAATCAAATGTTTTGGTTATTTGGTAAGAATGCAGCCAGAACAACTACGAATGCAGGCGCTACACATAAAAGGATCTGAAGTGACAACAAGAGGCCGTCCTAGGAGAAGATGGACTGATGACACTAAAGAGCTTTTACATAGACACGGAATGACAGTAGCCATTGCTGCCCATCAAGCAGTGGATAGCAAACTGTTCCTACCCACAATGCTTAGCGGCATATGCTGATGAAACCATTTTTAGCCTATGCGACATTGGCTGCTGCTTAGAGGCTAAACAGTTGATACACCAGTGTTGTGCGGAAACCCTGCAGCCACTATATGATTAGTAGCCCCCGTAGTGTAGCGGCTAGAAGGCCGTGGGTTCGAATCTAAACTGAACCGGACTTTTTTTCAAAATGGACCTTGGCTCATTCTTCGGAATAGGATGTTGCTTATGAGCCAGTTCTCCTTGTTGCTGAGACCATTTAGGATGTCGGTGTTTGTCTTCTCCCTGGTTCACGATATTCTAAGAATTTGTCTGTAAGATTTTAGTTCAAAGGATCCAGTTTTCTTTTTCAATGACTGTATTCTTCTTTGCGTTTTCCAGCTGTAAACCTCGGTGAAAGTTCTGGTTGTTCGTCCATTTCTGGACCGTAGTCCTGTTCCAAAACCTATTTGCATGCGCATCTGTTTTACAGATCTGACTCATTTGTATGCATATTGTTGGTTACTGCATCTCAGGCTGACGCACTGCGACTTCAAAGGAAATGGCTAAGTGAGAGAGTACATGACTCAAATCCACAATTTGCCACAGTAAAGATGCATGATCTCAAATTGTAACTCTTTTGCAGATTATGTACCATAGGTTCCTCATCTTGTTTCGTCAATGATAATTAGGTAGAGTGATCCGTTACTCACACCCTCTCCCTTACCTCCTTTACTTCCCAGTTCATGAGAGAACGACGTAGCACTTATTTTTAAGCTTAGTCGACTTCAGAGTTGTGAAGTGAAAGAAAATTATTACGCCATTGGTGGAAATTCAACCAGGACGAGAGAGAGAGAGAGAGAGAGAGAGAGAGAGAGAGAGAGAGCGAGAGAGAGAGAGAGAGAGAGAAGAGAGAGAGAGAGAGAGAGAGAGAGAGAGCAGAAGGAGTGAGATGAGAATGAAGGAGAAATAGGAGATAAAGAGGTAGAGGAAGACAAAGAACCAACAACCCTCCCCCCCCCCCCCCCCTCTTTCTCCACCCCATTCGGCCTAAAACATACAAATGGATTGTGATACAGGCAACCATACTTTTAACGGCAACAACAAAACACAACAGCAAAGACAGCAAGTAAAGTATAACAGAGAGTCGAGTAAAGAAAAAATCGATTATTTAACGAACAAACTACAACACTTTGAGGATTATGACAAATACTTTGACGACGAAAACAACAACAACAAAGTGAACCTTGCTGTTGCGGTGGCTGGTTCTGGAACTGGGAATTGAAGACGGTCGGTTTCAGCGCGCTCATGTCAAACTTGGTAGAGAAGGGGTCTGTTGGGTCCCCTGCTGGTGGAGGCGACTGCGAGCCGTAAGCACCTGGAATAATTGATGTTTCCTACACTTCAAAATGTTGCTTGGGACTGACAGGCGTGCAGCTACAAAACTAATTAATTCTTCATGTTCCTTCGAAGTTGGAGTAGAAATGCTTAAGATATAAGGAATCCGCATACAAATATACCAATAAGCGAGAAGGGGTGTGCACGCTAAACCTCAAGTTTTGAAACAAGAGTCAAGTCCAGAAGTAGGCAAACATCCAGAACTTTCCTATGGAGTTTATAGTTGGTGAATGCTGAAAAAAAAAGACGGGCAGTACTGAGAAAATATGACAAAATAGTAATTTAGTGGCCAAATATCAATATTGTGGTTGACATTGTTTTGTCCTGACGATGTCTGCTATTTTAAATCTCATGTTGAAATCATTAATTTATTCAAAGAGAATTCCTGCTTTCAAGTGTGCTTGTGACAAACGCACTTACCTGGTTGCTGCTGTTGTTGGCTCCATCCGCTCTGGGCATACTGCTGCTGCTGAGGTGGAGGCTGTTGTGGCTGGGGTTGTTGTGGTGGTTGTGATGTCTTCTGTTGATAATAGCTGTTGCTGTAACCGCTAGGCTGCGTCTGAGGCGCCGGCTGTTGGTACTGGTTCTGTTGGTAGGAACCAGAGGGACCCGGCTGGTACTGGTTAGCACCGTAGTTCTGATCTGGAGATCATGTGTCACAGTTCAACCAATAAGAATACGAAATACGTTTTGTAAGACAGTACATTTAACCTCAAGTATAAAATATTATTTTGTTTCACTTTAGTTCCAAATTTTAAATTTTAAATTTACCTTATATTTTTAGCTTGAACTGAAGTTAAACGTTATATCTATCACAAATAGAAACATAAATTAAAAAAAAAAAAAATATTTTTCTTGGCTATCATCTTTTATCTCTTACACAATTATATACATGAAGAATCTGCGTTATTTCCACGATAGGTTATTCTAGACAACGTGTGTCTTTATATGCAAATTGTATGCTTACATTTTCTTAATAATCAATGATTGCACATTAAGGAAACAATATATATCCACCATTTTAATTACACAAAATTAGTAAGATTGTCTGATTAATCAGAACATAATTTATATCATAATCTCAACCCACATCAAAGCAAAATGTTAAACAATACAAAATGCATTTTAGTCAGAAAAAAACATTACATGGTATATAAATTGGAAATAGCAAACATATACTCTGAGAACTCAATTAACACTACATATGCAAATAATAACACTGAGGGTTCGAAACAGGATAATTTTTTTTTTAAATTACTACTACTACTAAAATATTTCATATACCTACGATATCTTAAACTTGATAAAAAAATAACGTTTGATCTTGTATTTATAATGACAATCGAGGTTGTTTTCTTTGGCTGCGAACCGATACGCAGTCGTTGCACTTTTTAAAAGGCATTCTTGTGTCTTTAGCGCTACTTTCATACACACTGTCTGGTGAGTACCGCCATCTTTTCGAAGCCGCCATGATCTAGCGACTAGACGCTCGCCTGCGGATCGGAAGGTCGTGGATTCGGTTCCTGACGAAACTGAACATGTATAAAAATGACCTTGGCTCCAAAGTCGACCCGTCCTTGAGTTGGTACCAGGTGTAACCCTGGAAAGTAAAGGCGGCTTTCGTGATGCGGACCACATCACCCACCCAGTGACGTTTAGTCTATAAAATATAGGTCTAGCCCTATGCACCCAATACGCCCGAAAGCCATGTAAAGTGATCCTTTTTTAATTTTACCGCCACCTTTTATTAAACACATTATGGTGAGTATCCGACCTTGTTTCCTAGTCAAAAGCCTTGTTTACAACAACTACAATAATAATAAAAATAATAATAATAATAATAATAAAAATAATAATAATAATAATCAAACAAATCATCATTGTGCTGTTTATATGTTACACCGAGCTTGCAGTCTATGTCTCCATTTAGTTCTACTGCGTGTAATTTGTCGACGTCTGTGGGTTAGACGTTACGAACGTGCCTCGAAATGCCGGGGTGCCGGGTTCGATTCTAGCTGCGCGCCTTGCGTTGGTTTCGACAGTCGTATTAGGAAGCCGATCATCCTTAAAGCAATGGCAAATTACTGGGTGTAAATTTGCCTAAAAACCGCAACCTAAAAACCACAACAGCTAAAAAATTCTTGGATTGGTTCTGCAACGTCCTGTAAAGGATACGCAACTGACGTGTGATTTTAGATTGAAGTCCGACACTTCTGGCTTCTCTCATTACAATTTATCACAGGGTTTTTCCGATCACGTCCTTTCTTAAGCAATTTGCTTCTTATTTTAGTACCTGTTTTGTAATTATTGATGAGTTTCATCTGAAAATGTTTACGATTTTATTTTTTTTTCTTTGATAACTGTTAATGCCAGTTGTTATCCAGTCTTATTTCTTTGCTTTTTCTCCAAATATTCCCATTTAACTTTCATCAATTTCAGCAGTCAATAATAAAATAATTCAAATAATAATGTCGATTATAATCAATAGTCTTTCTCTAAAAAAGGTAAGGTCGGGAGATGTGAACCAGCGTCATTGCACGCGGTTATAAACCATAAGTGCTCTGCCATCAGTACGGACAGCTGATAAGAAACTGTCCGCCTGTGTCGTAGCTACAGCGACGTTCCTCCATTTACCCCAGAGTGTTAACTCTGGTACCCATTTCCTAAAGGTTGGGTGAATCCCGGGAGCCGCCCGGTTTCGAACACAGTCTGTGGGCTGCAGCGAGTCGCAGCTGGATTTGAAAGCGAGTCTCCTGTCGACTACGCTAACGCCCCCCCCTTCCCATTAAAGTCTTTCTGTTATTATTATTATTATTATTATTATTATTATTATTATTATTATTATTATTATTATTATTATTATCATTATTATTATTACAAATACCCTTAACATAAGTAATTGAAGTGCATTTTAAAAATTATTGCATATGATGTGTTCAAATTAACAGAATTACACTTTATGTTTTCAGCTTGTGTGTTATTTGGAGCACCCACTTTGATAAGTACAGCATAAACATGCAAATGTAACGAAAACATGCAAACAGAACACAAACACGCAAATATATCATAAACACGCAAATATAACATAAACATAAAAATATAAAATAAACATGCACATATAACTTTAAAATGCAAATACAACATGAACATTTAATTATTCCTCTAAAATGCAATGTAACATAAACATGTAAATGTAACATAAACATACAGATATAACATAAATATGTAGATATAATATAAAGATACATAAAAAACACAAACATGTAAATAAAATTTAATTGCTTTCACAGACGAACAAATATAACATAGGGCTGCAAATATTGAACAGGCACAAGAAATTTAACATCAGAATGCAAATCTTACCAAAACTTGCAATTATATAACACAAACATTCAAATAAAAAATAAGTATGGAAATGAACAACTTTAATTTGCAAATATAATTATACGAATATAATATGAACATGCAAATATAATATAGTCGTTAAAATATAAGACAAGCATGCAAAAATATATATAATAGAAACATGCATACACACAATGCAAACAAGCAAATAGTTAAGACAAACAAGCAAATATGACACAAATATAAAAAATAGACACATATATAACACAAAGAAGCAGATATATTATGCTCCTGGATTTATAAAATTGACGCACACTCAGATCATAGACATGAAAAAAAAAATTACAAACATATGCAAATATTCAACGCAGACATAAAAATATCTAACACAAGCATGCACAGCCATCTACTAATGTATGTTTACAAGCAAGCCATGGGACAAAACACGCTAACATATCCATCACTACAAGATGGCTGTTAGCTACGTAAACATCTGAAAGCTCAGCTACTGCATAAATATAAGAATACGCCGTGGAGGTACTACTATTAGTATTACTATTTTGCTACTACTCTTACTACTACTACCACCACCACCATCCCCTACCGCCACCAGCAGTAATGTTGCTGATGTTGCTGCTGCTACTACTACTTCTACCACCATTACTACCACCATTACTACTACCACTACTACTACTACTACTACTACTACTACTACTACTACTACTACTACTACTACTACTACTACTACTACTACTACTACTACTACTACTACTACTACTACTACTACTACTACTACTACTACTACTACTACTACTACTACTACTACTACTACTACTACTACTACTACTACTACTACTACTACTACTACTACTACTACTACTACTACTACTACTACTACTACTACTACTACTACTACTACTACTACTACTACTACTACTACTACTACTACTACTACTACTACCACTACAACTACTACTACTACTACTACTACTACTACTACTACTACTACTACTACTACTACTACTACTACCACTACCACGACTACTACTATATTAGTTTCCACAACTGCATCTGCTGTCCTACAACTACTTTTACAGCTGCTCTTGTTGCTACTGCTTCTGCTACCGCTAATATTATTATAATTACTTCAACTCAAGTTGTTCTCACTACTATTTTTACTACTACTGCTACTGCTATTATTACTACTACTGCTTCTTCTGCTGCTGTCAGATAGAGAATATAAGATAATTTGCAATCAGTACATACAGCAAAACTGTTTATTTCCATATTTAGTGAAGAAAAGCATAAATTGTTAGTAACGTTTGCCCACATCTTTTAACAAAGCATTGCATGATTGGTGGTGGTGGTGGGGATGATGATGATGAGGTTGATGATAATGATAACGACGACGACGACAAGGATGATGACCATGACGACAGCGATGTTGAATAATGAAAATCAAGAGTGCAAATAGTAAAAATGGTCAATTATGAAGCATTTGTTCCCCGGTGACCTGAAATCAAAGACATATATGCTTGATTTTTTTTTAACAGTGTGTACATTGGTAAGGTCACAGCAAGTTAATTGTTTATGATTTTTTTTTTGTAGGTTGTTGTAGTTGTTTTTGCTGTTGTTTTTGTCGTTGTTAATGTTGTTTTTTAATCTGATGCTAATGTAGTTAAGACAGTTTATTTGAGAGGGGGGGGGGGGGGGGGGGGGGGGGGGGGGCATAAGTGTGAAATGCACTCAAAAACTTGGTAATGACTGGCAAGAGTGATTGAAAAAAGAGCAAGGCAAAGCGATAAATACCTGGATGTCATGGCTATGTGGATGGGGACAAGACAATAACATTGACTCGATCTGTAATTCTGGTGATCGTGTGAGCTAGCGAAACCTGGCGCCGCCCATAATTAGCGACAGGCCACATGTAATCAGGTTAATCAAAGTTCAGTATTCATAATAAACAGGTCAGCCTTTAAATGCTCTGTTGCTGTGGTAACGAAAACCACCCAGGTAGGTAGTTGTACACCACCAGGACATTACACAAGCGATAAACACCCTGTGACACAAAATGCCACCAGGCGGATGAGGATCATCCGTCGAGAGGTCCCAGAAACTCCTTTCAGTCGTTAGGCCATATCTATGCCCCTGCTATATTCGGGGCCCCCGGTAGAAGCCAGGGTAGGACTTTAAACAAAAAAATTGCATCCCACATGGGATAATACAGTGTGTACTTTCGGTTGTTCTTTCCCTCTTTGATTCGCCTCTGTTTATTTTTGAAATACTATACTAATTAA